TGGCCAATCAGAGCACACCTCGCTTTTCAGAACAATGAGCTTTGTAAAAATTGACGCGTTTCAGAAAGGCGGGGCATAGAGGAGAAACAATAATGTACAGTATGTGGAAAATAATGTGTTTTTTGAACCTTAAACCGCATAAACACATTTCATTACACCAAATACACAAAATAATGTTCTTTTTAGCAACATCATATGACCCCTTTAAAATTATGGTAAAATAAATTAATAAAAATTTCACCTTATGAAAGTGAATATAACAAGTATACTATAAATATGAAAAATATAATTTAATATTATATTCCAATTTAACCAGAACATTTAAAATATAAATTAAAATACAATAGCTTTTCATAATTTGATTAGAAAAAAGTGTTCAGTTCATTTGATATATGTAAACTTTTTGTATCTTTATTTAAATAAAACCAATGATATCAGTATTGTTACGGGGCTGACAAGACGTGAGACGTGCGGATGCAAGACTAGGCTGGGAAGCTAAAGAGGGCTCTGTAGAGTAGCTATCACTGCTGGCGATAAGCGCATACAATACTCGGCAGAGAATGGTTGTTTGAGTGAGTGTATTTATAGTGAATGTGTGATTGATGACAGCTGTGTGCAATCAGTGCTGTGTGCAATAAGTGCTGTGTGCAATCAGTGCAATGGCTGATGGGATATGTAGTCCGGGATGACATGCAACAGTTTGTGTTGTGCGAGAGTCACTGTAATGGAAGTCCATGGACAGGATTCATGACAAGTATCATATAAATAAATAAACTGCATATATTACTTAATATGTGTATTATTTATGAGTATTTTATCTATATGCATGCACACGTATATGAAAATACTGTTTTTATTATTTTATAATAAAATAATATTAAATATATATAGAGAGATTAAAATCATATAAAATGTAAGTAACATAAAACTTAAAATCGTTAATCAAATGACTATTCTACTTATATTTCTAATTTTTAGATTTGATCTAATTATTTTCAATTATTAATAATTATTTTTGTAATTATATTTCTAAAAAAAACACATCACTATA